GGAGCCCCTGATGCCTCCAGCCAACAAGCCTAATTGGCAGCTGGAGTGGAGAGGCAGGGGCTTTTTTAGTCACCTCTCAGCCACCTCTTGCGGGGTGGCCACCCTGTTCTCCCCAGGCCTGTAGCCGGAGGTTTTCCAGGACACTGAGGTGGTGCCAGGCTGCCTGCTGCACCTGCAGGTCCAAGTGCAGGGGCTGGTCCTGAACCTTCTAAATGTTCACGCCTTTGTGAAAGACCAGGAGTTGGCGGATTTTTTCTGTCAGTGGCCACTTACATTGGCACCCTCAACCCTTGCGAGTGCCGGTCCTTGATGGGGACTTTAATGTTACCCTAGACGTGTGAGACTGGTCGGGCAGGGAGCGGAACTAGGCCGTGGGCATCCTGATGGACTACTCCCTGGTGGACGTTTGGCATGCCTGTCACCCTACTGAATCCCCTGCCTTCATCTATGTGAGGGTGGGGGAGGAGCAGGCATACCACTTCCTGTTGGTCCGGGTTTATATCTCTCTGCTGCACTTTGCCCGGGCCCACTCCTCTGGCTTTTGGCTGATCCCTTTCAGTGATCACCACCTCATCTGGGCTCAGGCCATTGGGAGATGGAATGAGGTTCCCACTGTTTCTATATCCTGGAGAGGAGGTGGGGGGCCAAGAAGTACATCACCTGCCTTCTGGTGGATGATGGCACCCTTTTCATGGATCCAGGTGAGATGCGCCAGCCTTCTGCAAAGAGCTCTTCTTCCTGGATCCAACCAACGGTCCCTGGTAGGGACTCCCGCAGGCCAGCACAGGCGATTGTGACTAGCTGGAGGCTCCTTTCACTGTGGCTGAGTTTTTGACTGATGCCTGGAAACAAGGTGCCAGGCATTGATGGGCTGACCTTGGAGTTCTACTGGGCCTTCTGGGACATCCTTGGCCCGGGCTTTGCTGTGGTCTGGGTCGAATCTGAGGGAAGTGGGGAACTCCCCCTGTCATGCTGGAGGGCCGTGCTGATCCTCCTGCGGAAGAAGTCTCACCTCCATCCTGGGCAAAGTCTTTGAAAAAATTATCAAGGCTCACATTTGTGAGAGCCCGGCAGGACAAGTTATGCTGAGGGGAAACCAGCACGGGTTCGTAGCAGGCAGATCGTGCCTGACCAATCTAGTTTCTTTTTATGACCAGGTTACGAAACGCCTGGACGCAGGAGGAGGGGTGGATGTCGTATACTTAGACTTCAGGAAGGCCTTCGATACGGTATCCCACCCCATACTGGTGAACAAGTTAAGAGGCTGTGACGTGGATGA